ATTGTGAAAAGTGACAAGCTTATCGAGTAAGCGCGAAACTAATAGTTTTGGAAAAAAGCACGCATTCCGAAAGAATTTAAAGATAAAATTAGTTGGGTTGTTGAAAAACCGAGACCTGACTTTGGAAATGCTAATGATGGCAATACTTTCAGGAGCTCCTTCAGAATCCCGATTACTAAATTTGATTGAAAAGATGCATACAATACTCGTAGTTGCTTACAGCGGCCACGATTTCGACGTACAGAAGTTTCCTGACTTCGCTTTAAAAACAGGAAAATATTTGGTATAAAATGCCTGCAACACTTCACAAATATTTCAGTCATGGACTGGTAATAATATCCTAGTCTTGTTACCAATAAAACAATTATTAGAAGAAGCTCAATATCGTCTAAGCATGGATTATATATACAGTAGTAGTTCTGACCTCGTTACAAATTCCATGCTGACCGTGACTGCGCCGCAAATGGTCGAACCACTTAGTCAAATTTTGGCATACTCTTTCCAACATTTCGGCCGGTATCTCACTTCAATGTTGTCCTCCAATTCGTCAATTGTCTGTAGAGACATTAGATTTAACATAGGCCCACAAGAAATAGTCTAAAGGTGTTAAATCGCACGATCTAGGTGGCCAATTGACCGGTGCCGAGCGTGAAATAAAATGTTCACCGAACTCGTCTCTCATTAAGTCCATTGTTACGAGTGCTGTGTGGCATATGGCACTGTCTTGTTGAAGCCACATGTCACGCAAGTCAAGGTCTTGCATTTTGGGTAAAAAAAAGAATTTGATATCACCTCAAGGTAGCGCTCACCATTCACAGTTACCTTACGACTCGCATCGTCTTTGAAGAAGTACAGTCCAATGATGCCACCAGCATATAAGCGACACCAAACTATGACTTTTTCTGGATGCAATGGTAGCTCTTGCAATGCTTCTGGCGGAGCTTCACTCCAATATCGACAATTCTGCTTATTAATGCACCCATCAAGCCAAAAATGAGCTTCGAAGCGTGCACATTTTGATAATAAAATTCAATAATTTGCAAGCTTTGTTCGCTTGTAAGACGATTCATGGTTAAATTATAGATCAAACTGAAGATGTTTGGCAGTGATACAAAACACGAAAAGTGCGTCAGCTGTTTAAATCAGTGTTGCCAAAAAGAAGATAAGAAGCCTCAGAGCTGATGATGTTCGTGAATGACAAAGATAATGAAGTGGGGAAGACGCAGTTTATGTATTTGAAATAAAATTTGAAACTTAAATAAATAAAAATTAAAATGAATTGAAAACCGTAGGCCACAATATTTTTTTTTTATTTTTATGATTAATTGCATTATTTTTGGACTTCTTTATGATTAATTAACTGAGAAAACTAACTTTTCCGTAACTAGAAGGCTTGTGGGAATTAATCTCCGTTTTGAACACCCTTTACCCCACTGTGCGACGCGCCGAAGTGATTTTATGCAACGTAAGTGTAGAGAGAGAGAGTGGAATGGGGAGAGCAGGTGTGGTGTGATGTGGTGTGGGCACAAACAATTGCAGCTGATGCCATTAATATATGCAAACCGAGACGGACTGTTGTTGTTGTTGTTCTTGCTGTTGTTGCTCTCTGCAAAGCACTTGTTGTAATCTGGTATACAGGGATGTGTGTATGTTTGTATGTGTGCGTGCAGCAAGCGATTTATTATTTATACACATTTGGTATTGCACGCTTGGTTGTTGTTCTTGGTTTTGCTGTGTGTTATTAAATTGCAAATTTAATTTTATTTTTCCCACACACCCACCACTGCATTGCCAGCTGCCCTCAGCCGTCTCGTTCTTAACAACAAGCGGAATTATTTCATTACGTTTCGCTTCCACTTCCATGAGTTTTCATCATCAGCGTGTGCGCGCCAGCTGAAGGTAAGTAGAAATAATATGTTTATGTGGGCACGAGTGTGTTCAGCAGCGAAGACGATCGTCGATATGCTGAAGCATTTCATTTATTTCCTGCTCCAATTGCTACGAAGTGCCATTTCACTGCTCGCACTGCTGCGACCACCCGCGCTGCTTGTTGCTGCTGCCCTCGTCCGTGTGGCTGATGATGATGCTTTTAATAACAATTTACGCTACAGCAGCTCATCAACGCTGTGTGGGTGTGTTGGTGTGAGTCGAAATTTTGGCATGCCAGCAGTATAAATGTTTGCCACACGCCCCACCGCGCTTGCAACTGGCAACACTCACCTTTTGTTGTCTCGAAAAAAAAACCCTTTCCTTTTGGCGCTTCTTCTCCATCTGCGACTTTCTTCTTTCGCCTTGGCCCATGTCTCTTGTTATACGCTTCAATTGTCTGAAACATGAAAACCCAATTTCGATATTTGGCAGCCGTGAGCTCGCCTTTAACTCGCATTCACATTCACTCAGCTCAGCTGCCTTCTCCATGCAGTTCAATTCAGTTCACCTTGCACGGCAATCACTTCCGTAAACGCGTTGCACTGTTGGCGAGGCGCACTCACTGGTCCGATTGCTGCTTTCCTTCTACTGCTGTCGTACAATCGCACGTGTGTGTGTGTGTGGGTGTGAATGTCTATGGACGGAAATGTTGGAATTGCGCTTTTCTTTCTATCGTTAACGGATTTCGCGGTATTGGCATTTCATTGTTGGCTCTACAAGCGTTTTCATATAACTTTTTGGTAAAGCTGTTCGAGTGAAGCGGAATGAAGTGTTTATTTTGAGTATGAATGTGATCAATGAGATTTTGATTTCATTGTTTCGCGCTCGGCGTTTGGGAAGGCAGCGTACTAATTGATGGGTGAAGTGGATTAAGCGAGAATATTGCGCAAGTGAAAGTTATTGAAAGGGCGCGGCGTTGTTTGGCTTCTTGTTGTTGCAAAAGCTTGTTGGAGTAAGGGTCGCTAGTAGGAGTTATGGAGCTCGGCGCGGTGTCGATGCTTCTTCTGTACTTGACAAAGTGTTTGGATATCATCGGATCAATGGATGTTCGTTTCTCTAGCTCGAGATACCAAAAAAGCTTATGTTGCTGTAACCAAGTGGGTAGTAAAAGGTCGGGCGGTCGAGTTCCACTTTTTTCAAAATACGTTCGCTCCTCGGAACAGAACATCAAGCCCTCCGAGTGTATTTCTTACATGATTAAAAAAAAAAATCCGCATAAAAGTAATTCCTCATTCGGTAGAACTCTAGGTTTGAAATAGAGTCGCCTTTTCCGAAACTCTCCTTTCTCTTAAAATTTGGAATGTGCTTCCGTTTTTGTTCAACGCCAGTTTATTTAATCGTAAGATTGCTACGCGGATATAAAATTCAGATATAGAGGTGAGAAGGCAGCAAGTTTTCGTGCTGTCTAAGAGAGTGGTTATGAGTCGAATCTTTTCTGAAAGGTTTTTCCCAAGAAAGGAACAAACTCAAAGTTTCAGTGGTTAGCAGTGCGTACTCCCAATAGGAATGCTAAGGATCGGGTCGCTCCTCCGCATTGAATATTAGCCGCTCCGAATGTATTTTCGACGCGAAATAAAAAAGCTCCTCATAAAAGCCTGCCGGCCGTATGGAGGTAGCTAAGTATGAACTACAGGTTCCTCCATTTGTTGGAAAAACATCAAGACGCCTAACACAAATTGTAGGAGAAGCTCGATCGAAAATCGGTCCTAAGATCCGTTTAGTTTGTAGAGAGTAGACTCACGTGTTTCACACCACAGGATAGGAAGAACCTTAGATGTTATATCGTGGAGGTTAATCACACGACTATGGAATCTTCGTTTTCATGGATTGGACAGTTCACATTTAGGTTTCAATCGTAAAGCAAGTTTCCAACCGACCTTATTTTGCAAAAAAAAAACTGACGCATGCACCTGTTAGTACTGTACCGACTTTTTCGAATAGCTCGCCCGGTGAACCAACGGCTCCAGCTGGTTTTTTTTATTTTAGCCGGCCTTATACTTCTTCATAGTCGGGTATTTGAAAGTTATTTACATTACCATCAACTGGATATTTGGGTTCATCAACTCGTTTTCTTCGAGGTTTTTTATTGCCATCCACTGATGAATTGTTTTTCTTTTTCATATATTCGGTATGCTCTGGGTATAAGTCGCCAGATTATCACTTTAGATCTTACCTGTATATGATCCGGTCTTTAAGCCTTCTGTAATTCGACTTCTCTTTCCACAGAACTTCTGAGCATTAGCCTAGCCAGACAGTTTATCAAGCTCTCCACAATCACGAAATTTAGCCCTCGCTCTTTAGCGTCGAGTTGTTGCTTACGGGCTGTTATTTGCTACAAAGAGGCGTATTTTGGTCTAAATCAATGTTAGTTGCTGCAATAAAAGCAAGCTTAGAGGCTCCGCTAAAACTCTGAATCTCTTTGCCGTAGCACAAGACTCCACATGAGTTAGTTACCGCTTTCAGCACAAGGGCTGCTTACGTTGTAAGGCTGTTTGATGAGTATGCAAGAGTAAGAAATGCTCACCGCTATAAATATTCAATGGCTCAATATAACTAAACATCCCGAAACACCCCCTGCAGTCTTTAATCTGAGAACTGAGACTACCGTAAAGTTGAAATTTTCTCAACTAATACGAGTTCGCCGTTTAATACTCTTCAAATCAGTCTCAGCGGACTGTTTAAACAGAACAGAAAAACGTTTTTCCCTTTGGAATGGGGAAAAATATGTTCAAATCTCCCTAACCTCAAATAAAGCTTTCAACAAATATAAAACGAACCAATTAATTATTCGAGCCAATTAAACATTTGATTGAGTTCAGTTTGCACAGGCGAATGGGGTTGCAAGCGAGAAATCGTAAAAAGTTGCTAAAAAACGAGTTAAAAGGAAGACCCACATAGTCCGAGCTGAAAGGCTAAGCTTACAGCCTCTGAGTGCCATTACATACACACCCCTCATATGGTCGTATGCACAGGTAAAAATAAAACTTGTTGAAAAATTCAATAACTGAACTCAATCGTACTCGCGGCTAAATTTCAATTATAACATGAACAAGAAGAAGCACAAAACTCACCTGAAATCCATCATATGTCCAACTGCCGAATTTCATCACACACGTCTGTTCGTCGAATGGGAAGTACTCGACATCGATTTCGCAGGAGCTCTTATAAATCGCCGGTGGCCGCCACTCGACGCGCCCCGTGTAGTTGAGAGTCGCTTTTGTGGCCAGCGTCACTTCGAAATTGCCATCGGCACTGTTGTAGGTAGGTGAGGTGGCGGGCAGGTGTTTGGGTGTGTGTTGCAGTGGATAAGGGTGGCGCAGCGGATGAATTTGAGCATACGGCGGGAGAGCGTAGAGAGAAAAATGTGAAAAAGAAATATTTAGAAATACACAAATTGAGATATTAAAAAAAAAGAATTACTTTGTGTGTCTACATTTCATGCGTTACATATATACATATACTAGTATTCATAGTGTTTTTTTGTATGTAAAAAGTAAAAAGTATATAGTCAGCAATTCTGTTTTAAAAAAAGTATTTTCTCTAAGTCCTATTTCTCTCTCCCTCTCTCTCTGAACAATACAAACCATTCACATGATCCTCTTTCCAATTACTGCTACTTCCTTATGAGTAACCAACATTTTAGTGCGGAATTCTGGAATAAGGGACACTCATTTGAATAGACACATATGCAAATCTGCTCATATGTGTGGCAGAAGCACCGGAAGTAAGAATTTTCCTCAGAAATTTTTTCAACACAAAGGAAATACAAGATAAATTCGCTCAAATGAAATAAATCAAACAACCGCAGTGAAGAGCAGAAAAGAGGCGATGACAATGACAACAGTAGTACTGGAAAACAAACATGCAAAAACACAGAAAAAGTAAGAGAAATTAAGTTCGGTTGAAACCGAAAAAAATGTGAAAGAAAAAAATTAAATAAATAAAAAGAAATAAACAAAATAAATAAAATGTGTAATATCAAATAAAATTAATTAAATAAGAAATGAAATACAATTATAAATGGGATTTAAATTAAATAAAAATATGAATATTAAAAAAGTAAAATAAATATAAAATAAAAAGCACATTAGAGAACAATTAAACAAAATAAAATAAACTAAAATAAAATGCAATAAAATAAAATAAAGTAAAAAGTAAATAAAATAAAATAAAATAAAATAAAATAAAATAAAATAAAATAAAATAAAATAAAATAAAATAAAATAAAATAAAATAAAATAAAAAAATGAAATAATATAAAATAAAAATAAAAGGAAATATAATAAAATAAAATAAAACAAAACCACATTAAAATAAAAAATAAGTAAACAATAATAAAATAAACTAGATATATTAAAGTAACAAAATTAAAGCAAATTATATTATATTAAAAAAATTAAGGTAAAATATAAAACAGAAATAAAATGTAATTAATATGGTATAACGAGATACAATTAGTTTATAAGATTAATATTAAATTAAATAAAATAAAACAAAGTAAAATTAACTTTTATTAAACAAAAAAAAAAAATAAAGTGAAATAAAGACAATAGAATAAAACAAAGTAACATCGAGAATAAAAATAAAAGAATAAGTGAAATAAAATAAAAAAGAAAATAAAATAAAAAATAATTTTTGTTAAAATAGGATCCTCTTGGTGCTGGAGAACTATTAAAACGTTGGTTCAAGATATGCCTGGCTAAGCTCCATGTATGGTTAAATTAATTCCTCTGTCATTGCCTAAAATGTTTTATATGTACATATGTACATATATCAGCAACCGTTAGTTGGACAAACCTAACTTACCAAGCGCACACAGCGAATTCGCTTATAAAAAGTGAAGGCAAAAAAAAAAAGTTTTTTTCTTTAGAAATATCAAAAAGCGCCATGTGATGAGTTGTTGTCAGTTTTTTCGATTACACAGTTTTTTTTCCGCGTAACTACTGCTGCCACTATATATATTAGTATGTCTCCGTCCGAGATTCTTGTCTCAACTCATGCTGATGCCGCATTCTGATGGTGATATATGAGTATTTGATGCGGTGATATTTTGTAAAGACCGCACAAGCATATAACGAATTTCTGTACCTATGCCCGTGTGAGTGTGTTTGTTAACGCAAAAGTACAAATTGCAAAAAATAACTACAACAACAACAGCAAGAAGATGGATAACCACTTACTTATTATATAACACAATATCCGGCCGCCATATATGATCCGAGGGTACATGCAACATTTCAACACCGCCATACTCTTTCGGCTCCCATTGGAGTTTGTAATCATACCAGGTTTGTTCCACCCACAAATTGGTTGTCATGATTTGATTTTTCAAATTGACATCAATCAATTGTGATAGCTTCAATTTGATGCGTACAGTTACAGCGTCAGTCACATTGACAACGGGACGTACCAATTTGTTATAGTTACTGAGGAGATCGTCGTAGAGGCGCTTAGCATCGGGATTCGATGTGCTGCCTAAAGAACGTGCAAGAAAAGAAGAACGCGATAAGAGAAGAGTACAAAAAAGAGAGAAGAGAATAAATATGTGACGTATTAGTAAATAGTAAATTGGAATATATTTACATTGAAAATACGAAAAATAAAATAGTTTGGACTATTTTGGTTTAGTTAAACACACACACACACCCACACACGAAGCGGCAGACAGACACAATTGCAAAATCACGCCCACACACACACAGCCACACGTAAATTGCAAATATTTGCAATCAATAATCTCTGTTTTGTTCAAACAAACTGATTTTCTTCCAATTGGTCGAGTGATAAATGACAGCAGAAAATGTATTGATTGCGAAAGTTATTCGGTGAAAAATGCAAAACAATTGGAAAATCAAAGAAAAGAGGGAAGGCGATTTTTCTATGTTAAATATATATATATAAATATATATGTATGTATACATGTATACAAAATTTGGGTTGAGACATGAGCATGGACAACTCTTCGGACCAAATAAATCTAACCAATTTTTGGTGATTTAGGCATAAATATGTATGTGTATATGTGTGCATGTATGTGTGTATGTATGTAGATAGATTTAGTGGTTTGCATAAGGTTAAAACTAAATTCTTGTGATTTTATTGTTTGGTCAGCTTTTAGTTTATTGACGACTTATCATAATTAATAGCCAATGGTTAATTGAGGATAAACTGTGATATATAAATAAACCATATATGTATATTATATGGTGTGTATGTATGTACAGTGGTTAGAGAGTAGAATATAAATTTTTAGAAGCAAAAGAGGGTGGACAAAGCTTCGTTAGAGTTTTTGGATATATTTAAGCATGTTAGCGGCCGCATTAGCCGCGTGGGTAGCAGTGCGAATTACCATTTGGAAGATCAGGACTCGAGGCCTGTACCAAAAAATCAACGAAAGTTATAGAAAATGAAAATAAATTGCAGTCGCTCCTCCGCAGGGAATGTGAAGTGCTCTGAGTGTATTTCTGGCATACAAATCCATTAGCCGTTCGGAAGCGTTCGCCTTAGCATAAAGAATCAAAGATCGATAATCTTTAAGGTCTTAGCTAGAATTTAATTATTTGATGCCATTCATGGATGTCTGTAGAGCTCTTAAAATGAGAAGAATCAGCTTTGGAAAAGGTTAGTATTGTTAAGATTAAGACTGGGGTTTGAAGTTGGATTTAGGTTAGCGTGGGTTACACTGCCTGACGGACCCGCCTTACTGTCGTTATGCCTAGTAAGGTCAGGTCTGTCCTTTCGGGTCTAGAATTCGGGTTGATTGTTTTGTTATCATTGCATATCTGCTTGACCGTCTGGCTTGTCTTTCAGGCTTGTCGTTGTTATATCACAACGCTGAGGAGCACAGGCGGGAATAGTTTAAGTCATCGAGGTTTTTTAACCGGAGGTGCAAAAACGCGCTGCTTCGACGGACTTGGGTTAGGGTGGGTTAGTTTTAGGTGGCATGCCAAGAGGAAATTTGTGCCGAGAACGATCTCATTACATACATGCTGAGCATACGTTGAGTATGACGGAATCGAGTCTGTATAAGTAGAAATTAAGTCGACTGCATAATAAAGATTTTAATTATGCGAGAGCAAACGAAGCCGCTCAAGTGTCTGTACAGCAATTGGTGCCCGTAGTAAGAAAGTTCACGAATTTGTTGAAGGACTTTTCTTGAATGGCGTTTAAAGTTTGTACTATCTTTCTGATGTACCACGCGGAAAGCATGCATCGGTGTAAACAGTAGGTTTTCTGTCATCTAAACACGAACCGTTTCTTTGTCCTTACGCCAGGTGCTGCTAGCTAACGCAGGACTTTTTTGCAGTTTGTGCTTTAGTGGCAGGTTATTATTTGTTGGAGTTTTACGTCATCGACTTTCACATTAAGTTTGACTGGCTGGCTTTGTTTAGCTGCTGATTATGGTAGCTGAGGGTTTCGCCAGTCGCCATTATAGACATCAGGCAGTGAAGAAGTGGAAAAGATCGACGAGATAGGAATTTACTTTCGAACATGTCCTGGATCGTCTTCTAGCTCAGTGAGAAAATTCATTGCATAGAGTCTTTATCGACTTTTGTATGTTATGTACAGTTTCGGTCGACACCAGGCACTTTTTTTTCATTCTTATTCAAAATATTGTTTCCCACAATGACCTTGTAAGCATACAATTGTTTTCCGGCAACCTGCTTATCCACTACATTCCTGCTTCAGAGGACATTCTCTGCCGTAGCACGATGTGAGATTAATGCCCTTAATATGTATAGGTGCGTAGCTGAGATGTCAGAAAGTTTAGCGACCTTCTTTAACACGACAAGTTCTTCTTAGAATTCCGGTAGCTCCTGGCATCTACTCCATCAGGCATGTTGGAAGTATTTTTGCGACTTTTCCACTCTTTTATTATGGCTAGAGCTACTACATATGAGCAACACTGGCTACTAAACATACATCCGTAGCCAGAAATCTCGAGTTAGCTGTCTTCCCGCAATCATTTAACAAACAGGGGACAATCTTTTAAGCACAGGCGGATGCGTTGGACTTCACTAATCAAAAATTATATTAATGCAACAATTCCATCTCATTATTGATTCCTCCAAGGATTTGCTTGCGCTGAGTTATAGACAGTTCGTTGAAATTAGGACCGCTGCTGCATGAACCGAACTACAAAACCCACATTCTCCTTACTGATTGGAGAAGAATAATTTTCTGGTAGAGTTCAATTTATGCTTTGCGTACATTTAATTCCAAAGATGCTGCTACTAGCTACTTATACTAAGCATAATTGACATTATCCGATGTCGAACTACTCGTTAAACTCTTGCTGCCCCTGAAATCATTTCATTGAAAGTTTATAATTCAATTAATTTTGATTTTCGATTTTTTGACTTGCTTCGACGACTTAATACAGACAGACAGTTTTCTCGTAGCCAATTTAGATTTAATCAATTTGTTTAAAAAATGAAATGTCACGCATCAGCTGATTGAAATGCAGAGTCGCATTTGTGCAAGGAAAATTATTTTAAGACGCTTAAAAATACTGATTTCTACTCAAAGGAAAATATCTGTTGTAGATCAGCGTAATTTTGACATTTTAAAAATGAGATACCATCAAAAATAATTTGATATCTTTTTCAAAATTAATATCGCAATTCAGGCAAAAAAGAACTGCCGATTAATAAGCGTGACATTGCTCATACGCCACCACCGCCATGTTGAAGCGAGTTTGGTTTGAGTTGAATGTATACATACATACATATAATATATATACGTATACAAAAATGATGCAAAAGCAATATAATAAATTTTATGAGTCGCGCACATGCCAAATCTCATGATGATATCGGAGAAAGACGGAAATTATAAGACAAAGTAAATCAGACGAAACGATGCGTAGCTAAACGGTATTAAATTTTGCCGACAACAACAGAATTAAGCGATATTGAGATATCATGGTAGTTGGTGATGCCATATTTATACAATACATACATACATACATAAATATGTATAGCATGCGTATAGTTTGGGGATTGGCGTGTGAAATGCGCCGTAAAAATATGCGCATCAGCAGATCATTAACTTGTTGGGTAATTAAACGTGTCTTCACTGCCACCATTTGAAATTGCTTGCGTTAGTGTTTTTGCTGATGTGCTGATGCTGAGTGTTAAGAAATGACATTTTTATTATTAGCAGCTGGTTAACGGAATGTGTCTTTATTAAATCATATAGTCTTTATTAAATATATTTAAATAATTAGTAATTAGTTCAGGTCCTTCTCTACCTGGTATTTCCAACGGAGTAATAGTCTACCCTCTTCCTGTGCTTCCATTATCGGATACTGCTTCGAATACTTTAGTGCTTTCATCCATGCGGAAGACATGAGCTAGCGAGCGGGGCCATTGTTTCTTTATACTCTGAGCTATATCAATTTCCCCGTTTATCTCATACGGCTCACAGTTCCATCGGATGCGGTTTAATTTATTTTATTTTATTTTATTTTATTTTATTTTATTTTATTTTATTTTATTTTATTTTATTTTATTTTATTTTATTTTATTTTATTTTATTTCATTCTATTTTATTTTATTTTATTTAATATTTTTTTTAATTTGTTTTATTTTATTTGTTTTATTTTATTTTATTTTATTTTGCGTTATTTTATTTTACTTTAATTTTTAAGTTTATTTTATTTCATTTTTTTAATTAAATAAATGATTTAAGATTTTATAATAAAATGACATTTTTTAAAATTACATTCTAATATTCAAAAACGGATTACAAAATAACGCAGTCGCCGCACATTTCATTTCTACAAATAATTTAAATAAACAAATGCTTAAATAGGCGCAACGAAAAATATTCCATGCAAATTTGTTCAACTTTAATTTTTAAGAACCATTCCAATTGTGGCAACTTTTGCTTGCGGCCGTCCAAATGTGTGCGAATGTGTGAGTGTGCTACAGTGGAAGCAGACGTCTAATAGCTTAGCAAACAGCGGGTAACGGTAAATGGCAAATGGCGTAAATATTCAAACGGCATTAAGCAGTCGCCGCAGCCGCCGACAATTGTCTATCTATTTGGCTGCATGCCTGCTCTGTCGGCCTGCCCAAGTGTCTAAGGATATTGTCTATATATTATATGTGTATGTGGGTGTGTGTATATAATTTTGGGTCTGTAGCAAAGCTTGCTTCTCATTGCCATACAATTGAGACACAGCTGTTAAGTGACAGCCAACACCTAACGGTTTCGCCATTGGCCATTGGAATATTCCTGAATATCATTAAAATCATGTGTATATCTGAGTGTATATCTGTGTGGGTTTGTGTACATTTTGACGCCTCAGGCGCCATGTCCTACTCAATGAAAACTTTTGCTTTTACCACTGTTGCTTGGCGTATATACAAACATATATATTGTTTGGTTTGTACAAATGTATGTACGCATGTATTGCGCTGACCATTTGGTAATTGCTTTTTTGTGGTTTGAAATTTGGTAGATTCATT